AATGGCGTTGCTGACATTTCTTCACCGAACATTAATGATATATTGTGAGTATTTCAGGGAGATATTACTTGTTCGCGTTTTACCTGCGGACGAAGGTTTGGTGGATGAATGGAATTATTTGTCGTAAGGATTGCAAACATCTTGGTAATGGTAGGATATCTAGCTAAGCGGATTTAGAGACGCACCGAGATATTGTGACGAATTGGCGGTGAAAGGAAAGGCGTCTTTGAACGGCGTTCGTCATATTTTTCTGGATGAAAAGAGTTTGAGTTGAGAATTTTCAATAGAGAGCGAGAGTGATTAGCGTGTGTTGGTATGCTATTTGGATACTTTTGTCGTGTTTGAAGTATTTTCGTTTTCTTGGTTTTGATTGTGTTTTGGGATGAACTGGCATGAGAAGGATGACTATGATATTTTCCCGGAGCATGACGATGCATACGAGCAGGGGGGCTATTCGATATACTCGTAGCATAGTANTGGTATTGCAGTGACGAACTACGGAGTGTGGTAGATTGGTGGACATTCATGGAGATTCGTTTTGGGTGTTAGAGCGTTATGCGTGACTTGATGCCGTGATGGAATGACGAGCTCAAGCACGCCCCCGATTGCAACAACACGGATACAACAGGTATACAACACGTTTCCCAACACGTTTTTACCCATCCACGCCCCGTCATGGGCCACCCGCTCTAAACTCCAAGCACATAGAACTGGGTCACCCGAATTATCGATCAGCGTATAGCACAACGCGCAGGTAAATATACGTGAGCGGATCACGTGGGTAGCTGTAGCAAGAAGCAGTGGGCTACCAGCTAGCAGTCGTATCCTCAGCCTGCACACGCTACCAAGCTTGGCAACTCAGCACGTGGGAGATATCTTAAACAGACTATACGCCTCGCGAAGGACCACGCGCAGGCGGTTTTGGTAGGTAGTTGAGAACACACAGAACACCAAGGACGGCACTCCGCACGCAGAACCAACTACCTGCACAACTCTATTCGCCGACCGAAATCAACGCCTAGAAATTTTCCCCCCGAATGCTTAAAAATACATGTTGACACGTATAGCACATATATCCACTGACAAGTCAGCGCCGACTTTTTAGCTCGGTGGATATGTTGTTTATCTACCACAAACACAACGCGGTTTCCAAATCCTCGTGGACTACTTGTGACGCCTTTTTTCCGGAACAGTCCGGGATACGCCTGAGAGCGGTGTACATTCCAGTCGTCCAAGTGAAGGTATATCTTCCCGCCTGTAAGTCGATGAACCGAATGGGGCAGCGCTGATTACAGGGATTACAACCCTGGGGTTTACCGAGGTGCAATAGCTCTAACCGACTGAAGGACCCCGGTCGTACTTTTGTTAAGATGTACAGCGTATCCACTGTGCTACAAGTCAGCGCTGACTGTTTAGCACGGTGGATATGTTGTTTATCTAACAGCAACTCCCATACAGTGGTGGCTAAGGTGTAAGAGATATTTAGTACGGGTTGAAGCGAGTAAAACTGGTTTTCATGCCTCTGGCCGACAAAAGGGAGAATCTGCTTTCATCCAGTCCTAATATCCTAGATTACACGAACCACGGAGGAAAAGCCGCAACGACAGTATACAAACTTAATCCGTAGATAGATACACCATGCCCTGGGCAGCGGGCAGTCGCTTCTTGAGTGACTCCGATCACACGCCAGATTCGTCAGACTTCACTTGTACAGGGTTAGGACAATAATAAATAGGGCCATTTCCACGGGTTTGGTGGTTGGTGTGGTCGACCAGCATGGCGACAAAGACGAGATGTACCGTGTCTGTTACCCAGCGATATGTAGCCATCTGCTGTACGCCCCCGGCCCGGCCTTAGAAGTATTCCTACCGTTGTGCCACGTTCCATGAAGTCTCCCTCGTGCGCGTCTACTTTGGGCATGCCGCACTTCTTCCTCGAGTTAACAACTATTTAAGTGTTGTGCGATGCATACCCCCGAGTACAATGGCGGACGCCCTACGGCTGCCCCGGAGGAGTCGCCCATGTCTCCTTGTTCAGACTGGTCGAACTCGTCTTGTGGATCTGAGAGTACAGCAGTAGAGACCCATGATATATCCTACACGTTAGGTGCCTTCCACATATTTTTCTTGGGTTATTTTCGTGGTCGCTGATAGAGTCTTGTTTCATTCATTGGTATGTGGGTTGTGCCAACCAGGCACAACAAGACGCTGACCCAGTGTTGAACACGATTTGTTTAATGTCATCCTTCTCAGGAGCATCTTCATCGAGCAGTGTAGGCAAGGCGTCCGCTGTGAAACGACCTTTTCTTCACTGGCTACTGTTTGAGAGGAATGTAACGGGCATAGTCTACGAGAAATCCGGATTCAAGAGAGAAATGCTGGCTTGTCCCGACCCTCTCTTAAGGGTACCCAGACAAGGGATTTTGACGCTGGCTCTTTTCTCATACTTTATAACAGTACAAAGAAAGGAAACAACCTTCCCGCCGGAGGAACCTGGTCCGTTGTGCTAGTATCAGTAGAGGATATCATCAAGAGGCGTCGTGCGTGCTGGCACGTTCAGGTATACTACTGGGGCTGAAATATCGAAGGTCGCAGCAGCCTCTGACAACGGTCCGAAATCTGCGCCGGAACCAAGCGGAACCCAACACTTGTCACAGCGGTGCTCACCACCACGGACCGCAAACCCCTCAACTGCGGGTTGTCAGCAGTAGCTGGTGGCATCAGCTACTGCTGTAAACCTGCAGTTCAGAAGATTGGGTTCAGTGGCGGCGAGCACAAGCAGTACAAGACACTGGGTGTCGATCTAACTTGCGGAGATTTGCGGAGATTGTGGGCCACTACAACGACACTCGATACCACCACCACAGAAGAAGTTTTGAGCGCGCCAACACACCCCCCCGCTGCTATAGGGTGTCCTCTAGTGATATTGGTACAATGGACCAGGTTCCTAGCAACACCGGCCTTATTTGAGCGCCTTCCGTTTGGGCTCTTTTGACTTGAATTTAGACTGGTGTGGATTTTTATCTTGGTTTCAAAGGATGCGTGTGGAGGTAGACGCGCGAAAAGCACGTTTTGAGCGGTCTCTACTGCTGCCCTGTGCCAGAATTTTGGACTTGTTTTTTTTGCGATGCCTTCCGACTGGTCTTATGTGTCTCTAGTGCATTTTCTGGCGCTCTTGCGTTTGTTTTCGAAATTAGGCAACATAGCAGGAGGTTGTCCGGGTACCCTTAAGCCTTATCCACCACTGTACCATTCTTGAATGAAACTATCTGGCATCGGGCGTGCAACGCCATCATCTCCGTACATTCACACACAATACCGGTGGCTCTCCGCTAACACAGTTCCCACATATACATATGCAAAGGTACCCACATACATTGTTACCCCGGCAACTCACAAGGAGGTCAATCTTGGATCACGGGGTCGGTGAGATCGCACCCGGTGCCATCTCCCCGACCGGCGCCATCTCCGTGACAGGTGCCGTCTCTGCGCCTTTTAGGGTACCACCTGGACACGAATAGAAACAGTGCTCGGACCACACCACAAACGTGCCTCAACTGTCTGTTGATCGGTCCGGCCCATGCCACAAGGAATCTTGAGACCACAAAACAAACTTTTTTCTCCTAAAGCCTCATTTCAGCGACCAGTCGATGTGCTGTGTATTTCTCTTCGTTTCAGGTCGTTCATGCTTTTTGTTCAGCTCCGGGGATGCCGTACAAGTTTTGTGATCGCTTGTACGCGGAACATCAGTTCCCCGTGTGACATCATGCAAACATTCTCTTTATACATCGGACAGAAGTCATCAGCTTAACATAAACTATGTAAATCAAACAGGAGTCGTATCTCCACACCATCCCGAACAACGACAACTGAAGTGCCAAAAGGAAGAATCCTAACAGAAAGCACGCTGCCGGAGCATAGCTTTTGGTTTAATCCTACATGTTTCAAACTTCAATCTTACATATTCATACGACAGTTGACGATCCTCCTTGTTGAGACGCGAGTGACGCGTACGACACACAACGTCTGGCCCAGCCAGACCAGTCACACATTTTACGTCGTGCGTAGTGCATGTCGTACCAAGCACGTCTCGCTACTCGTAACGTTTTCGTCGCTGGCTGTTCGGATTAGCTCATGTCAATAGGACGCCACTAAACCTTACATGCTTGACTGCGAACAAGCCATCTTCATGTTACAGTACTTCAGGCAAAGTCCACTTGTTCATGCGTCCTTCCGCAGAATACCTTCTCCTCATTGACATGACAGCTAACCACACCAGTTGCATCTCAACCGATGCTATCCAACCTAGCTGAAACAGGACCCATACCACTACCTACTTATTTATTTGTTTTCTCCCATCATTGGACTCTGTCGTCTGCCCCTCTGGCCCCTATCCTCCACTTCTACCAGCTAGACGACCCAACCGGGGTCACACAGGAGGGGGGGGTTGGACCGCCTCCTTCGGTTCTTGCCTGAGATATTTTATCGCGAGAACGGTACAGCAATCCCTTCCCTCGTGACTTATGAAGTCGATCAATACTAGCAACGCGCTTTGCAGCGCATCGCTTCCCACGGAGACCAGGATTTAATAAGCGAGAGAAAACTCACTCTGTCGGGACTCGAACCCATGACCTGGCCCTTAGCAAGCTGCGAGGCTACCCACTAGACCACCGGGGCGACCGGCGTGTACTGTAGTACCGTAGTTCATCGTTTGTTGTGTGCAAGCTATCGTCAAGGGCTGACCGCCGGAAGCGACGCTCTTCGCCTATTGAAACCATCCACCAGAGCAAGGTCCGCCGCGTTGCCGAACCACCAAGCGAGCAGGCACGTGAGGGCACCCGCAACGCACCCGAAGCCGGTAGCGATGAAGGAAAACTCTCCCCCAACATCGCGGTTGTCCTAGGTTTCATTTGGGAAACAGATTGTGTTGGGGTCGTCATCGAGTCGGGGGGGGGGGGGGGGGGGGGGGGGG